TGTCAATGGCGGCATGACGTCAATTAAAATGACAAGTCACTTGAGCCCCAATTCACCCGCCATTGCCGATTGAAAGCTAATTAAAAGCGGGCTTGGCCGAACGCCACATCTATAACTGCTGGTCTGCCACGTGGATGCAACAATGCCGGAAAAAGATGATCAAAGCTTGATCAATATCCCAATCAAAAAGATAATTCGACAATCCTTGTGCAACCACGAGCCAAAAAAGAATCAGAGCCAGATCCACGACCTGGAAAAGGGCAAAAAAGAAGTGTGTTTGACCGTGCCAGGACTCGAACCTGGAATCGCTTGATCGCTACTATTGTAAACCGTAGTCAAGCGCCTTATCCATTGGGCCACACGGCCTATGATGTTTTGGACTAGTAAGCCATGTTAAACACCTATTTGATGAATTGCTAAAGCGCAGTAGCATATATAAACATTATATATTCGCTAATTAATCTCTGATGTCAAAGTTAAAAATTAGGTCAAGACTTTACATGCACTTTCACGCGGCCTCTAGCCGCCCACTCTTTTAGTACCCACCTGTTACAGGTATCTAGTATATATCAAAACCAGCGCTTAAAGAGTACAGCCCAATCGGGGCTCAATCAAAAAATTACCCCATGAAACCAAGACGAAACATTCTCTCCCCGCAAAGAATCAGTGGACAAATAGTGTCTAGACTCCAAAGGCGTGTGGGGAAAATTCTGTAGTGTTCTTCCTTCTGTTATCTTTTTTCTTTATAATTTTTCTGTTGCTATCAGCGATAATGAATAAGCTACGTATTTCCTCTTTTGTCATATAACTATAAGAGTATATTGTCAGTATTGCGGCAACAGATGGCAGAGTGATACAGCTATGACTAGCAGGTGGTGAAGCAGGATGCTGGGGGCCCTGAGCGATTGTACTCTACCAGCGGTATTCAGATCCACAGTACTTTGGACACCTCTAATCTATAATACCAGTGGAGTATTCATATTTGGCTCCCAACGTTTAATTGCTAATGGCCAACTGCGTTACTGTTACTTGCTTGTCCTACGACCTAACCACAACGTCATCTACTCAAGGCACGTGCTCACACACACACATAAAGATGTCAGCATAACTATTGGTTTGGCGAAACACACTAGCTATTAACGCTATGTATATTTACATTCCATTTCATTTGTAGTACGCAAGCAACGAGTAGGCAAGTATCATCTACAACCTTTGCCGACACTACATAGAAGAATAATGTTACATTAAAAGTAAGATAAAATTGGGCATAGATTCTCCCTATAAATGAACAGTCGCAATTCTTGAGTATGTCTATTGTGACTGTTCATCTATAGGCAGAAACTATGCACTTTTTTCTTACGAGTGCTGATATGTATGATGCCTGTGTTAGTTTTTAATCATATACCATTTAATAAATTCACAACAAAATGTTAAATATGTAAGGAGAATCAATGTCCAAATTTCCTATACCTCCACCATTAATAATTATGCAACTTGGTATCATCATGATTGTTATATCAAGATAACACATTGTGTTTCTTTACCAGCAAACCATTCGGATATTGCGTTTTATTCATGTGAGGTACGATACAATTAGGCAATGCCTTTACAAAACCTAGGGCCGTTGCTTGGTATTTAGGCTAACCAATACAAATAATAAAGTAACTTATTGATAGTCCTTTCGCTTGTGTATTTAATCACAAACATAAACGCCCTTGGAGCAACTACTGCTCAAGCGTGTGAAAAAATACGATTTGATAATGTCCCTGACAACACTTTTTAGACAGTAGCATGTTGGCCTTACAACAGAGCAAGAATCGTGTATTGGAGGGTTTGTTTGGCTTATTTTGAAGCGTGCTGAGTTCTTTACAGAGCAAGTCATAGTACCATCTTGGGCATTTGACAACAAAAGTGAAGCTGCTTGAAATGTCAGCACCAGCCTTTAATCTCTTTTTTCCATTAATTTTTCCTGGTTATTTTCTATCGCCACATATCCCACTGAGTTGTTTTCATCCTTCTAATGTCTCTTCATTGTCTAACCCGGTCTGATGATAACTACTTGGCTATCTGTCCTGAAGAACCTCAAAGCACAAGTACATCTCTGTTAATGATTTTATTGACCTGGCTACTGACTACCATTCCATCACATATCCCCTTGAAAAGTTTCTGCCATTTTTTGACAGATGCTGGCGTCCACAGGTACTGCAGCACAATGGTATTATACATGACCGTAACTTGTTCAAGGTGAAAGCAATGGCCACAGTTCAACGACTTATTGACACCAAATGCCAAGCCAGCATTCCTCAGTTGTTCAACTCATGGTCAATGCTTCAACCTTTAACAAGTTTAAGCAATGGATAACGCCATTGTGGCACAATACTTAAAGGTGCCAGTTATGATTAAAAATGGCTCAAATTTTCATGTGGATAAGTAAAAGCTTGATAGTCAGTGGCCAGATCCACGAAATCACTAAAAGAGACATTTTTATGTTTTGAAATTTTTTCAAAGCAGATAGCAAGGTGGTTTTCATTAGCACGAGACTTACAATAGAGAAACATTAGAAGGAAAAATCTACTTGGCAGGGTATATGACAATAAAAACATCAGTGAGAAATAGGGAGAAAAAACATTTGAAATGACAGTAGTAGTTGGTTGTGCTTTTGTGCCAATGCCACTTGGCCAGGCCTTTTGGGTCTACTACTGCATGTGCACAAGCTGCAAACAATCACCCTGCCAGAGTGAGCACAATCCCAGCATTGCACACCATTAGTAGGTACTAGCCCTGTCACATGCTGTGATGTCATCCTTTATCATTGACCATAGTGTTGCCCTTGTAGTGTTTATATCATGCTCCGCCCTGCAACTAGGCAGGGGATCGGGGATGATTACCTCTTGTGTTTGAAAATCAACCTTGTAACAAGCCCCCCCCCTACAAGTAGGGTGTACAAGCATACATGCTAAAAAGCCACAGGGACTCCTTATGCACTATTCTAGTGAAGGGCAAGAAAGAAATCATGTAAACAGCAGTATAATTCGATTGTGATATTCTACATTAAAATCAGTGCCCAAAGGTTTCTCCTATTTTTTTTATTTCTATACGTATCCTGAATTAAATAAAAGAGAAGCTTCCACGCCTAATGCTAGAGTATGTAATCCATTATCAGGATTAGGCTCTTAGGGTAGCCTCTTTGACTCTGACTTTGAGCATGCCAATGTAGCGATGTATAGTGTTACGTCTGATTAACGTTCAACATCACGTCATGGTTGGCTATTTTGAAAGAAAAAGCATTATACAATTTGACGTCTAATTGATGATCATCCTCACGTCATGGTTGGGGGGTACTTTTTCCCGTCTAGTTTGCCTCTAAAGTGGTGGTATAAAATGTCAGACCCTGAGTAACTGCCTTTTCTTCCTTCGCTTCCTCCCTCTACACACCCCATTCCAGCTATACTTTATACTACCAGCTTTCTTATATTCATCTACAAGAATCATGCAGATCCCGGTGAGTAACTTGGCTGGTTATAAAGATGAAAATACCGCATTTGTTGGCTATGCCGAGATCAGTCATTTTACTTGCTTAACTGCTCTATCACAAGCAGAGGCAAACCTACCCAAACAAGGTATCAAGAAAGGAAACAAGGCAATATGTCTTGCCACCAATGGTATTGTTTATGCGTTTTCCTCGCAAAACATTTCCGGAGACACCAAACTCAAGGGAGATATGTTTATTGTTATCATGAATGGTTCATCTTGGAAAGAAATAGCAAAAATGCGCAAAAATGATAGCTATTATTATCTCCGCAGCAAAGTTGAAGATGTCACGCATGTAATTCAGGAGTAGCATTAGTGGATGATGAGTTACAATGGATACAAGCTCTCGACTCTCATGACCAATAATACATGTTCTGCCGAACGAGTCTAAACGAGCTTGGTAGTTTACAATGCAAGTAGTTGGTATCAATCCATATTTTCCTGTTTTGCCAGTGCAGACAAATAAATATAAATATCATTGATGCCAGAGAGAAAACAAGTTAGAACATAGTAAATGTATCGGGACGATGTCCAAAATCAATGGCCATCACTGTCACATAGCTAATATGTTGTCAGCGTAAGCTCGTGTTGAACTCTATTAAGAGTAGTTTTCCTTTTCAACCATCACGATACAGGAGAGCAAGTGATTAGGATGAATTCAAAAAGTAGAAAAGTAATATAATTTCTGGTTGGCAACAAAGTTATACTAAATAACTACTGCATGTTTAGTCGGTGTATCTTGCAAGATAAATATTCATTTAATATGCCCTTATTTATGAGTTAAATAACCTTGTTAAACTCACCAGGACTGTTCCCAACATTTGCAATAAAGCAGCTAGAGTAGAAAGTACATATTTGAGTATATTTAGTCAGTGTCCTAACTACAACTTTTGGTGTGTA